GTCAGGGATTCCGACGCGCCTAGGAGAAAGTCGCCTAGGAGCATGCGGTACAGAAGGAAGGGTGAGCGGATGAGATGGTCATTCGGCCTCGTGAACCTATTTTATTGTTGGTTCCTGTTTTTCTATTAGATATTGCCCACACCCTTCCACTTCCCGGGCGATGTCCCCGTTATATTATCATTTATGGTTATTGACTGTTAAATCTCCTGTTCTCCCCAAAGCTCACTGGCTATCAGGAACATGGGGATGTATCCGGAAAAGTATCCTGCTATTGTGTGCGCTGTTTGGAAGACTCATTATGAGGTTCACATGGGGTCCACGTAATACTGGTTCTATAGCCACGTTAATATTTTTTGGCTCTGGGTCGTGCTCTGTGCAGCGATGCTATGCAGGATGAGAATAACGTTCTACTTTCCGATACTTCCTCTGTCATTTTTGATCTTCTGAATTCCATTGTGTTGCTCTGGTTCAACTTATTAAGTTAGAAAGCGAATTCCACCTCGAAACCAGTTTTCGATGATGGATCAGCCTTGGAAAAATTAGGTAGGATCAAAGGACAAGTCTGGAAAAAAATGCTCAGGATTTTTTTCGCAGCATACGCGAGTTTGAAGTGACTCAATAATCAGTTAACAGCCTCTCTAAACGTACATCATTCTACTAGCTCAACCTCGAAAAGGCAGGAAAACTTGTGCTTCAACTTCACCTGTAAGAATCCCACAAAGTGATCGCTACTACGATAATCATCTTGAGTTGCAACGGCAGTATGGAGCCAACGTTCTCCCAGACTATCTGGGGAAAAAGGCGAGGGTGTCCATCAAGAAACCGACCTCAGAATTACGTGTTAGTTGAGATTGCAGTTTTTCAGTAGGTAACAGCTACACCTTCACCATACGGGTTAATAGGACGCAAAGATTGTGATATAGGGCCAAGTAGAGCTCACTGTGCCCACGGCAGTATTTTGACTCGCTTTCATCACGGCCAGAGAAATCTGTCTCTCTCCTGATCTGGAGAGTAGTGCTGTGCTCCCACTTCTCCCACCTGCCCCCCCCCCCCCGCTCCTAAAAAAGAGGACAATTCCGCCAGCGGAAAGTCAGTGTTGGTGAGTAATATCTTTATCCATAGAGAATGTAGATCACTCTAAGGCAGTGGAAAA